AGGACATAATATGTATTTAGGACATAATATGTGCCCATACATGACGTACCTACCATGTAAAACCCAGTCGCCACAATAGAAATTTGTACGATTCGCGCGAAAATCATCACAAAGTGAAGATTTTGAACTACTCAGTATCCCTGCAGTACAGAAAACGGAACAGGGATTTCATCACAATCAATTTCAAAAATTTAGCTTTTTTCAGGGAGTCTTTTACGTGCTCGAACGTTATTGGCTTTGAGACTTGAGATTTATTTCCCTTGACAATAAAATGCTATAGAAAGCGCTTACAAAATTACAAAGGAACTATTTTTGGTGTCGCTTAGGCCGAGAAATACAGATTTGAGGGAAGTTTATGCCTCTAATTCTTCTTCAAAACGTAGACATAATTGGCCAATTTTACTCCGACTCCGTGATCTCCTTCTTCTTTGCACCCTTTGGGTGATGCACCATGCACATTGTAATCAGCATTGCCTTTGGTTGTCGCACAGCTGAATTTCCCACGAACCCCAAAGATCTCCAGTTTTTTCCCCTTAGCTGCTTTCATACAAGCCTCCACAGCACCTTTGATATTCTTCTTGTACTTTCTGAATTTTCCAAGAACTTTACCCATGGCCTTGTTTTTCTTTTTGACTTCTTTAAAGCATCCTTGCTTTTCCCACTCTATAACACATACAATCAACTCCATCGATACAATTAAGTAAGGAAGGGTTTTTTCTTAAGGCCATAATGCACGATTTCCTATAAAAGATGTTTACTTCTCAGTCTTTGAATTGTAATAAAGACAACAATGAGCGACGACACTCGCCAGAAATTTCTCGCTTCGTACATTTTCGAAAGGGGATAGGTAAGTGTATGTACAGAGTTAGGTATGAATCTCATGACAAAGTCGGGTTTTAAGCTACTTGGTAGGCAAAAACAAGCTTTCAGTCTCGCTCTGAAAATCAGTAGAACTAATCAATGACGTGGAACAAAGAGAACAAAAATATGAAAAGAGTAGGTTCAAAAAAAGGAAAAAAACCCTTGTGCTCCCGAAGCGAAGCAAAATGTATTTCAAAGAGGAATGCTGGAGTGGTAAAGAGGTGGGTCAAATTTTACCTCTCGTATGCTGTTTTTCTAATTTCTATTTTGCCGGAAAGCCTTAACAGTTCGAGAAAAGGTGTCACCAAAACACACCCGTTGACCTTTTAGCGTTCTTACCACACTGTTCTCCAATGAATCATTCCTTGCAGTCACACGTGTAGTTGTTGATTCCGTTGATACACTTTCCTCCACTGTAACACACAGCATTTAAACAATCGTCCTCATCTGCATTTCATACAAAAACGTAGAAAAGGTGATATAAAAGCCGAGGTCGTTTTCGTAATTTATTTCTCGTGGGGTGCATCTCATGTAGCCTGATTCGTCCAAGAGACTGCGCGCACCGTTGAACATGTTTATGTAAAATAGTATCGTGTCCACTGTATACGCCTGGCTCTAAGAAAGAGGGATGATTAAGCTTCATAAGGAGCGGTAGAGCTACCATGTATCTGCATAGTTATTACGTAAAGTTCTCAGAATGTCAAATTAATGTGCAAACATAAATCTGCCACATTGAATTGTCCACACATTAATCTACGCTGAGAGTAACTCCACATATTTTACAGAAGGAAAGTCAATGCAAGATTCAAAAGAAGAGAAAAGATAGCATGGGCTAGTACCGGAAACGAGTAGGTCCTCATTAACATATAGTATACCTTTCAAGAAAAAATATAACGTAATAATGTCCGGCTCTGGTATCATTAATAGGATCTTTTAAGAGTTCAGTTCCCATTATCATCGGAGTGCCCAGTTGGTTTCGCGAAACTTAAGTAGGTTCAAATATAACAGTCTCCCCCGGTACCTAGAGAAAGAGCTGGTACGGCTCGAGAAAAGAGCAATATCAATAGTAACCTCAGGAAAGTGCAACTCGGCGATGAAGGTGTGGTTAACACCCATTTTGGAGCATTGATTTGGAGCTTTTTGATAACATTGTCAGTGATCCAAAGCATGAATTGAAGGCGCTCCTTCCACCAGACCATGACAACTCACGCTATAACCTAAGAAGACAGCGCCTTTTTAATATGCCAAAGCTTTGCACGAACAGAACAAGTAATACTTTTATATATGCGATGTCCAAAATCATGGCTAATCCGTGAGCGTAGCGACTGTTAATCCGATCGAAGATGCCTATTCCATTTGATCATAAACAATACATTGGAGCGGAAAAACGAAAACTACGCTCGAAAGTTTCCCCGTCATAATTTCTTTAATAGGAACCAACACCTGAATCAGGCTTTTCCCAAAGCCATTTGGCAACACGGGCAGTAGATTCTTTCCAGAACCGGTGTAGCAATTGTTTTTTTTTTTTTCCGACTTTGATGCACGAGAAATGTTAAATTCCGAAAGACACTTGCGGAATGGCGGAAGGCGGAATCGAAACTAACAACTTCATCATTTACAGAGTTTGCCATCCTTCGTATTTTCCCCGCAGCAGCAAAATGTCCAAATGATACATTTGGCTTTTAATTGACAGCTGGAGCTTAACCGCGCTCATCAGGAACTCCGTTTTCCCCCACCCTTCTCCCTATCATTGACCGTCGACCGCCCCCTTGGTGGAAATTTCTTTCTCTTCCCAGCCTTCCGCTGCCATTAAAATCGAAGATGATGGCCATAATTTTTGTTGAGAAAATAATGAGCACTCGCTCGCCAAAATTACGTCTGCTCCGCAGGCTACCGTCGAAATCCCCAAGTTTGTTTGGAGAAGGTTAACTTGTTGCTTTCTTTGCAAGCACAAAGACCATGAACAACAGCTAATGCCCAGTAATTTTCTCACCTTTTTCACAATTTTTTCCTGTAAACCCAGGTTTGCATTTGCATTCGTAGCCGCCTTGTGTGTTTGTGCACTGTCCGCCATTTTGGCATGGATGTAAAGTTATACATTCGTTGATATCTAGCCAGAATAGAAAACATCAAAGTTAAAATTTTTAAGCACAAGGGTTGTCCCTGAGAGACAGGTTTAAGTAGCTTTTCAGTTCGAAATTTCATTTCTCACTGTTCTGATATGAAAAAAGTCAAGCCTTTTATTCTGAGTCGGTTCAAGGGGGGACAAATCAGACGCGAATACAACGAACAACTTTATAGCTATGGTGTGTCTTTCTTATTTGTGAATTTTTTTAAAAGAAGCACCTGTTTAGTCTGACTTTTTTAGGCATTAACATAAATCATTGGATCGATTAATCAATCGATTTTTGAATGTCAATTATGGGCTGCCCTGTGTCTCTGAGTATCTTTATAGTTAAATGAAGATCCAGTCAGTTTTTCGCAATTTCCTTGAAGCAAAAACATGCCAACTTTTCCTTCTCGGCGAGCAGTTTGGAGATTTCTAGTCGAGAGTTTCAGAAGTTCTTTCACTTTAACCACGCCGCGAAAAATATAGGCTTAAAACGGAGCAACCAGTTAGTTTAAATGCATTCTAAATAGAAAATTTGATAATAAGAATAAGAACGAAATTTTCCAACAAAAAAGAACAGGGAAAGGTGGGGTCTGGAAAGGTCCTGCGATCCTGAATCGGAGACGAACTGTAGTAACCTGCTGTAGAGTTATTTTGTCAATTTTAAGCTTTCATTTTTCAAAATCAACCTGTCGAAATTTGTTGTTGAAAGGCATCGCAGTATTGGAGGCATTTTATCCTCAAACTTTCATTGTTGACACATTTTTTGTGAGGCTTTTACTTACCAGTCTCGCAATTTTTTCCCTGGAACCCTTCGACACAAGAACAGGTGTAGCTGTCACCAGAGCTGCTACATTCACCCCCATTCTGACAGGGCTTTTTGTCTGCGCAAACATCAGCTACAAACACATACACTTCTATCAGTTAAATGACCTCCCTCACTACACCCGGTAAAAGACCCTCTATTCGTTAGACTGTAAACTACGAAGCACTCTGCAAAAGGTTTATAAGAATTCTTAAAAAAATAGCGGTACCGCGGTAACTGGTTTATGAAGACGTTATCAATTGGCATAAATTAAAGTCTTAGAATAATTACCGCCTTGACCAACGCCTTCTACGGCTTTTATTTGCTTATTTTATACCTTGTGTGTTGGTGGTCCCTGCGTGAGAACATAGCAAACAACTGTCCTTTCGTCATCCAAAAGAGAACACCCCAGTTATCGGAAGCGCTGTACGAGAAGAGAGGACCAGCTGTACTCAGAGGATACACCCAACATAAAATCGTAATGGAGTGCTTTACGTCTAATCTTCCATTATTCGGAAACTCAATGTAACTGCCGATATTTCCTGCGAATTTGTAGGAGCCGCCTTCCTTTCCATCGATTCCAGGCGCCAAAGACACATGGCTGAGGATACCCGGGGGCAGTCGATCTTTAATTTCTCTTGATAGATACTTGCTGTTTAGAGGATAGACGGCCACAGGATTTGGTACACTGATTGCTGCAAAGTAAAACAGAGTGACATGTCAACAACTTTTGTTCGTTGAATGATAAAACAGTTTCCAGATAGCATCTTTAAGTGAGTATCATCCTATCAAGCCAACCAAACCACAAATGCAAATAAAGTTTCGCCCTCACTACTACTTGATATGTTCCATGGCGTAGAAACCTTAGAACATTTCTCTTGCGAACGCAAAATGTTTGAATGTAAATATATCTCGACATTGAATGTCTGCGAGCTGACCTATGTGCCATGGCATAATATACATGTAGGAATGTAACCAAGAACCTATAATAAAACACCAAATTAAATTAAATTAGGTGAAAAGAGAAACTTAATCCGTGAGAAAATGGAAAGCAACGTCAGAAAAATCCTCTCTAAAAAACGCTGGAAAAGGGGTGTGACCCTCCCCTTGAATAGCTTACGAAGAGGTATTACCCTCCCCTTTTGGTACTCACTTTCATTGATGACCCTCTCCTCTGAGGGACTCAGAATTTTTTCTTTGTCCCTCGCTCATTACAGGACGAAAAACATCTTTCTCATCATCATTATTGTTTTTGAATTTGGTCGAAAGTTCACAACACCTGCAGTCAACGGTATATTTTTCGTCTATAGTTGATAAACCAGCTGCTTCGGAATTTTTTCCCGTAAATCCAGGTTTGCATGTGCATTTATAGCTTCCATGTGTGTTCTCACACTGTCCGCCATTTTGGCATGGCTTTGAGTTCCGGCATTCATCAATATCTGCCTCAAATAAAAAACTTTTAAGAGGGGGGAAATTTTTCTTCCTAGTCATGGGTAGTTTTAGTCACGTTTACTGACTGTTATCACCCACATTTGACTCTCTCGAATTCCTCAATACAAGAGAAAGGAAATAAATACCAGTAATATGAAAAACTTTGAGTCTGCACGAAGATCTGGATGATCTGTATAGCATGCCCCCCTCAAAGTAAGTTTGCACGTTGCCTAACTTGATATCTTGTTTCCCAGGCCTGCATGTCACATTCTTTTGTTTTCTTTGCAGTTCTCGAACAGCAAAATTAGAGCTTAAAATTGTTTGACCTTTAGTTTAATTGCCCACAACTTGGGAGTTTACTGTTCAGTTCTTTGAAATTAAAAAGGAAAAAAGAATAGACTTAGGTGATTTAAGATCATACCAACTATGCCATATCACGGGATTAACTTTAAACTCCAGAAATATTTCTTCCTTGAGATGGCACCAATAAATTGGTCCCACGGTCGGCCCGAAAGATTCTTAAATCTGTCAAGAGTTTCTTTCTGAAGAACCATCTTCGATTCTTTTTGGCCAGAGATTCATGCAATCAATTGATATCTCGAAGGTCACCGGTTCGAATATCACTTAAATCGATTTTTAAAACTGTACTGTCGAAATTTTCTCTAAGATCAACACGTTACCTATTAATTCACTGATTTGAAGTACGTAGGTATATGACAAATAATGTAACCTTGCAAAAGCTCAGGTGATGTCTATGATCAATAACCCACCTGTTTCGCAATTTCTTCCTGTAAATCCAGGCGTGCATTTGCATTCATAGCTCCCGAGTTACTCCCGGGAATCCTCAAGAACGGAGTATGTCTAACAATTCATACTGTTCGCCGAAGGTGAAAATATACTATTGAACAATACTCGAGTCACAGTCGAGAAGATCATTGAACAATAACTCATTGAGCCTAAGAAGAAAAAATTTTTATTGGTATTACTGTTCTGTTGATCATCAGAACAAAAACATTGATTTTTTTCTTTGCTTGTAACTAGTCACGCATGAAGGAGAGAGAGAGACACGCAGTCTGGTTTGTAGATCACATAATGACAGCGAGTCATTTTTTTCTTGTAGAAACTGCCATCTTTTCTCCTCGCCGATACGTACTGAAACTTCGCTTTACCTTGAGTTTTCTAAAAATGTGGGACTTTACCGCTCAGTTTGAGAGAATTTTTTAAAACAAACCTAGTTTCTTGTTACTTTTATCAGCTGCTGCAAATCTCTTTTCATAATCTATCAAATATTTTTCGCTTATACGCGATTGGTCTAAACGCATCCAGTGAGCGAATATGCCCTAGCTAAAACTAAATATCTGACGATGTACCCCAAGTGATATTCCCCAATTTTCAAACCTCACATCAAGTATGATAAAAACGTTCGTTTAAAATTTAATTCAAGATGAGAGCGCGTTGAGCTTTTGTTGCCGGAGAAGGAACATTTTTGTTTGCTCATAAAGTGGTACCAGGCAACACTGAAAAGTCATCCCACGCGCAGCAAAGACTACATTGTTCGTAAACATTTTACCCACGGGCAGCAAACACCACATTGTTCGAAGACATTTTACCCACGGGCAGCAAACACTACATTGAACTCCCCTTCACCTGAAGTTTGATTAAAGGACTCATTCCCTTATCGATAATGGGTTTTTAACAAGCTGCTTGACTTTTCTCATCATCAGCACTGACATTGAAAGAAGGAGAATATGTTTAAAAAATTGCTGCCGATTCTTAATACGAAATGATCATGGTTGACTCAGGTGGTTTAGTAATTTGTCTGTTTTCGCTACGATATGAAAGGATAATTATGGAACAGTAATTTCTATTGTAGTATGGGAGTTGGCTGTACGAGATCACAAAGTGATCTCTATACTACTTTCCATATTATGGAAATTTTCAACGAAATCATTTCATGAAATTGTTTAACAATTAACAATAGGTATCATACGTCAGCGTGCGTTCATCGAGATATGAAGCACGCGGGAAGTTTGGAGAGCACGAGAGATGCGTAAGAGTTGCTCGAGGCGTAGCCGAGAGCAACTCTGGCTTCTTGAGTGCTCTCTAAACTTCCCGCGTGCTTCATATCTCGATGAACGCATAGCTGACGTATGAACCAATTGTTTTACAACATTTTCAACCCGATGGAAAATTTTTTTCTCGAGGGATATGTTTGCTGACGTCATGAGCGTGCACAATAGGAATACGAAGCACGCTCGCGAAATTGAATTTGACTAGACAAATTTACTAGCTATGTTATAAAATCATTTGAGGGAATCATTTCATGACATAAAAGTGTCGGAATACTATAGGAGACTAGCGCTATGATCTCACAACATTTTCCCATTGCGAAACATTCTCAGAAGAACAGGAAATCAATGATGTAATTCAACAGAAACTTTTTCGAGGAAATTAGTCAAGCATTTGATTCCATACGGCAATCGAAATCACGCGTCGGAATTGAAATAGTGGTTTCCCACGCGACAGAATTGAAATACCGTATTTCTTCAGCTATAAGCCGAGACCCTAAAAGTTAGAGACCTTCCAACAGACTCGTGTTATCCAATAGAAACTCTTCTCCAAAACCCTGGAGAAAAGATCAGGAGACTATTCTTTCTGGCAAGCCTAGGAGTCTGCGAAACGTGCAAAAATGGGCCGTTTCACTCCCAAGTGTCCCGAACTAGACAAGCAAGCGATGGAGTGGTTTTTACAACAAAGAGACAAAGTAATTCATTTGTAGTGTGAAATGAGAAGAGTGTTTACCGAGTCGAGTGAGATAGTCTTTCAATAAGTGGGAAGCAAAGAATCTGATTGGTGGTCAGAAATACGTTGTTGTCATGACAATTTTAAAGCATGTAAAGAGCGCTGCAGTCACTGAATTTACGGTCATTTCGCATTAACATTAAATTTGTACTTGTTTTTGAATCCCAAACCCTTGGCTATAAGCCGAACCCCGTTTCTTGTGAAAAAATTTCCCAAACTTTTGTGTCAAATGTTGAAAAAATCGCTCGGCATATAGGTGAAGAAAAACGGTAATGGTTTTTCACGCGTCGGAATTGAAATAATGGTTTCCCACGCGTCGAATTGAAATAGTGGTTTCCCATGCGTCGGAATTGAAATAGCGGTCTCCCACGCGTCGGGATTAAAATAGTGGTTGACAAATGGTATTGGTAATTGTTTATTATAATTGTTAAATTTCAATATTTTTTTTGACTTTTTATGGCATTTCAATTCCTTTTTGCCACTTTTTGTGATACAGTTAGTTTTATACTCGTTCAACACATCTTTACAGCTGAAACACCCGTTGTAGAAACTGGTTTATCATCCATTATTATTATGTCGCTCTGCTTGACCATTTATTTAATGCTTGGTTTGGGAGCTCATTCTGCATTCTGTTTTAACAACAGTTTGATCAATTTTGATTTACTGAGCTTTTTTAAATCAGCCTTATTCATATATATAGATATCTTTGTATTTTTCATTAAGTTTCATTATACTATACCTATAGACAAATCTTGAAATGTTTGAAAAATAGTGCGTTTAAATAAGTTGAAATAACCAGTCTGTGGATAATTCAAAGATAAAAAGGTGTTTAATCACTAATGTTGCGTTGATGCGTCTTGCCTTTTACATGCTTGCATTTGCCAGCCAATGAATAATTATGACCGTTTTTACAAGCATTAAAGTACAACCTCCCGATTGCTTTGCGAATATCTAAAGCACGCCCAAATGGATATCTATATTTCGCTCTTCCAGCGTAACCCTTTTCCAAAGCCCAGTCAGTCAGACTTCCTCGATATTCATATCTTTTGTCTTTTTCATATTCTCTTTTATATTCAGCAACGGTTTTTGGGGCGTCGCTTTTTGACATTGTCAGTCCAGTGAAAGCGTCTTTCAAAAATGATAAGCCTTTGGGTACATTAGATAATCTTTTAATAGGACTTGCTTGTTCCAAAATTTCATACGACAATCGAAGTAGTGGTTTTTCACGCGTCGGAATTGAAATAGTGGAATGATAATTTCGTTGAATAATTTCCATAATATGGAAAGTAGTATGGAGAGTTGGCGTTTTTGCACGCGATCACTTTGTGATCTCGTACAGCCAACTCCTATTTAACAAATAGAGAAGCCTTGACTGTGCTCTGTTCTGTTGTAAAGCACGCAGGAAGCGGCTAGAGCACGAAAGAAGTGTAGGGGGAAACAGTTTTCGTCACAATTTTTTAAACATATTCTCCTTCTTTCAATGTCAGTGCTGGTGATGAGAAAAGTCAAGCAGCTTGTTAAAAACCCAATATTGATAAGGGAATGAGTCCTTTGATCAAACTTTAAGTGAAGGGGAGTTCAGTTAAAATAAATTATTTGAAAGAAATGTTCAAGTCACAATTTTCCTTGTGACCTGCCTTGTTTCGCGGTTCCATACGGTTCTGCCTTTTTATACGGTTTATCGTGTTCTCTTGGTGATATTTCCTTCTTTAAGCTGGTTTTTGAGAGAATAGCTCATTAAATGTATTTCTTACTATTTGGCAGTATCTTTAATTGGTGCTTACTTAAAAAAATATTTGGATCTCGATGTTCACGGTTTGATCAAAAAGGACTAATCACTCTTTGATAGGATGATTGACGCCCAATACGGGAATATTGTTATGTAAATTTATCTGTGTCGAATGATGAGTAAGAAATAGAATTAAAATCTGTATCGTTCGCCTTTAGTTTGATTAATGACCAATCAACGCATGCGCTGAAATGGATTGCTATGCTGTAAAAGCGTCAAAGGAAAGTTAGGCGTTACCAATTCATCGTTGTTTTTCATGAGTTAAACGTGCTGCTTTTGAAAAGGTAAGGTTGACAATGTGTTTGATACACTGTCGAGCGGCTTGATTGCCCGCCGGTCAAGCTCGAACTTTGCAGAAATTCTGTTTTATCTAGAAACATAGAATACAAGACGCATCAGCAGAGTTCTGTTTATAATTAGTTTGCAATTATCGTTTCCTTATTTCAACAGCAGAAGTTTGACAACATGGGGAGATTCAAGGTGATCTTTCAAATCAGTGCTCTACAGATTTTGATCACGCTTATTAACGGTTAGTATCCTTCAAGATTTCTCTTTTGCAAGAGCAGCGGAGAAAGTCTCTCGCCCCATTCAGACCAGATCATCTTCCCATGAGACCTCTTTATCATACAATTACCAAATCCATTCAAAACTCACACTGTTTTACCTTTCAGCTGAAAGTGTACCAGTAACTGTACCAAATCCTGTCGCCGTCTTTCCCCTGAACAGCAAGTATCATACAAGGGAAATTAAAAGTCGAGTTCCCCAGGGAAATCCTGTTGGCGTATCTT